AGCGCATGGGGATGGGATGGGAATGACTTTCAATGGCCTGGAGGTGAAAGACCCTGGAGCTCCCTCCCCAGTTGATCCTTCTTTGGTTACCTCATCCCCTATCAGCTGGCCGACTTCCCCCAGGATGGAATATGTTAGCACCAGCCCAGCCTGGCTGACATGGATCTGGGGGTCATGTATTGCCAGAAGCGCTGCCTGGAGGAAGGATATTCTCTGGCCTTCTGAAAAGATCTGTCCAAAGACCTAAAACCAACAGCACCACAGCCCTTGTTAGTTGCCCAGAACCAGGCTCCAAATCCCTCTAGTATCTCACAAGGTGAAGAAGGGTCCTGAGGCAGCCAACCTTTGGGGTCCCATGGACCAAGGAACCCCCATCAGTAAGAGGTGGCAGGCAGTGAGGAATAGCTCTTTCTGGAGCAGGATTCACCGCAGGTGCCATGACATCCTGGGAATGTGTCTGCGCACTCTGGAACCAGCTCACACAGACAATAAAGGATCCCTACTGCTCCCAGCAGTGATATCTCCTGCAGCTCACCCGCTAGAGGAAAGGGCCTTTTAGATCTCCTTCCATTCCCACTCCTCACCCCACTGACATTCCCACGAGTGTCATGGTTCAGTGACTCAGCCCAGGAAAGGGGCTCGGTGTCCCTCACCCCAACGCCCAGCGCAGGGGCAGGTTCTGCTCCCTGACTCGCCATGGTGCTGGGAAAACCCCACACTGAGCCTGTGCTTCCACAGGGTGCAGGGACTCCAATGGGGATCTGGTCTGAGCTTCCCAACTCACTGACCCAGGGGCTCCCCTCTCAGACACCAGGGTGTCAGCCAGGGAGAGTGAGCGGAGCTGGATCCCTGGAGATACAATCCTCCATTAACTCAACCCCCAGGGGATCCCTTGTATGCCACGTAGACATAGATCCATGGAACACACACAAGCCTGGACCGTTAGCAAGGCTCCAACCCAGAGTCCTCGGCCTCTTGCAGCCGAACACTGTCAGCTGGAAATAAGTATCATAGAATATCAGGGTTGGAAAGGACCTCAGGAGGGTCATCTAGTCCAACCCCCTGCTCAAAGCAGGGCCAACACCAACTAAATCATCCAACAGATTTTTGCCCCAGATCCCTAAATGGCCCCCTCAAGGGTTGAACTCATAATCCTGGGTTTAGCAGGCCAATGCTCAAACCACTGAGCTATCCCTCCCTCTCCATAACACACTAACTGCAGGGGGAGACAGCTCCACACCTGAGCTGCTGCAATGCACCAGCGGAGAGTCCTTACCTCCCCCACCCTGGCCATATTTCTGTAGGCCAGGTGCTCGGTGTCCTGGAGCCTGTCCCGGCACCACAGATGGCTCGCCTCTTGGATGTTCAACCCTGGGGAAGAGAGACACACCCTTTGGGGAGGGTTGGCATCCGGTTTTAGTGCCTGTTTCCTTCTGTTCCCTTTGCTGGGTGAACACTGGCCGGGGTCCTCGGGGCACCCAATGGACCAGGCGGCTAAGTAGCTGAAGGGGGATTTGTCTCATTCATCACAGCAATCATGGACCCTTATGGCCACGGTGCTCTGGGAGTGGGCGCCTGTTAACAGTGGTGTCTAATACTGAGAACCCACCCACTGAAGTCAGGCTCTGGCCCTAGCTACCCAACTGGTGACATCCTACAAGCTTTGTGTCCTTCTCCTGTGGTCCCTGCCCCTGCCCTCATGGTGGGCTCTTTCCCTCCACGTGTCTCAATAGCTCCGTTCCTGTCCCCTCACCAGCTGGCTGCCCCCTGGGTGGGCTGATTTCCCTGGGCTGGGGGATGGAGCCAGGCTCTGAGGTAAAGCTGCCAATTTCCCTGGCATGTTCGTCCCCTTCCTCTCTCCCTGAATTAGGGAGATGAATGTGAGACATCATCTAAGCTGGGGTCGGTCTCAGAGGAGGGGGCTTCTTTCTGTAAGGTCCCTTGGCCAGCAAGTGGGGGGCCCAAAACAGGGGCCTTGTTTCCATTGGGGTATCTCTGCCCTGCTGCAGTTGGTTTAACAGAAGAGACCTTAGTTCTATTGGTGTCTCAATGGCCAGCTGGAGCTAGTCGCCAAGGGACTCACTTCTATAGGGTCCCATTGCCCAGCTGGGTTTCTTACCCCTCCTCTGCAGCAGGAGCCTCTGCAGCCACTGTATCCCGCTCCTGGCTTGCTGGCTGATGTCGTTGGCTGGGTCCGAGATGTACAGACCCAGCTGCAGCACAAAGTTGCCCGCCTTGGGGAAATCGGAGGAGGTCTGGTGGGAGGAGAAGAGGGGAATCCATCAACATTCTCCCTTCAGCTCCCCAGCTCCTCTGGGCCAGAGCTCTGCTCCCATCCATCTGTAGGAGGCGCTGAGGGAGAGGAACTAGAGCCCTCTTTCTCTCTGACCCCAAAGGAGCTTGAAGCAAAGGGACCAGGGCAAGGGCCCTCTATGAGCACTCGCTGCCAGGCTGCTCCAGAATAACAAGGGCCCTGAGGCCAGGCACGACCCTGCCAGCCCGTGGCCTATGGAACGCAGTCCCTCACGGACCCAGGGTGGACCAATTAGCCAGGGGATGAGGAACTTGACTCAAGCCCTGACTCTGCAGTATGCTGGGGTCAAAGGTCACTTACGTCAAATCCGGGCAGGAAGGTGGCGAATTGGAGCAGGGCAGCGCTGCACCGTATGGCTCTAATTCTCTCCTGGGTGTTTTTGGACTGGAGCCAGAAATAGACGTGCTGCGGGAGAAGGAGGCAGGGGAGGGTCAGCGGGCAGGCGTACATGCTCTACAAACGAGCCTCTCCCCCTCCCATGGGGCTGAGACCTTGTGCCCAGGGGGGAATAGCTGACTCCTCATGTGGGGGGTTCATGACACTGCCCACATCTTGCTGGGCACAAGCTCATTGTCTCTCCAGGCTGGGACAATGTTCGGTCTTGGGGCTGGTCTATTTGCTCTGAACTCCTGATTCATGAACAGCACGTCAGGATCAAGGCACGTGCCCTGGACCCCAGACCCCGGCTGCAAAGGCCTTGGTAGGATGGATGAAGCAGCCGTGAGGACAATGCCTCCGGGAACTGCAGTGTCCCTAGGACAGAAGAGCTGATTCCCTGAGGCTCCTCCTGTATCTCAGGGTCTCCCTAGAAAGGAGCCAGAGACTTTTCTCAGAGGCCCATGTCCTGCATCTCACAGGGGTTTCAGTCTCTCAGTCCCCAGCCAGGCCTGGTGCTCACTGTTAGTGCGTAATGCTGCCATGCAGAGCTCTGGCTGACACTCCCAGCTCCTTCCCCTGCTCCCCCGCGCCCCCGCCCCGTGAGGCGTAAGGGTCCCAACATAGCACTGCACTGACAGCTCTGGGAACGTGTGGCCGCTTGGGAGGACACAATGGAAACGTGACTCTTCTAGTCTCTCCTTTGCAGCCCTCCCACGGGGTTCAGGGGAAATTCTGCCCCAATCCCTCCCATTCTACTCACCTCCAAGAGGTGCTGCAGCTTGTCTGTGGTGGGGGTCTCGGTGAGCAGGCACCTGAGCATGGTGTCCAGGCCCTGTAAATAGGTGTTGTACAGAGCCTGCAAGAAGACGGAGCACCCGTCAGTCATGGGACATGGGGCTACACCAGTCACGGGACCAGGGGGGTTCTCAGGGGAGGCCTGGCCAGACCCAAAAGGCACATCCTGGCCTCTGCCATTCCCATCACTCCAAAGACACTTAGCAAGAGTTCATGGCCGGATGCCTGCTGCCTCTTCAATCCTTGCTCTTAGCAGTTCTCTGCGCAGGGCCTGGTACCCAGCAGACTATGGAACAGCCAAACCGCAATGGGTGGAAGGTAGGATCCCCGGGAGAGTCCAGGCAGCAGAGCAGAGAATGAGGAGAGGGAAGGCTGGGTTCAGCCACAGAGGGGTAACACAATCCCCCCTGGAGGGAAGGGCCCCTCCCTGAGAGTTTGTGTTGTCCCCCCTCCGCCCTGCCTGGGCCTGTTCCCAGCTCTGCTCACCCCTATTCTCAGCAGCTCCATCAAACCGAGGGAGCAGGGACCAAAGGTGGCTCCTGCTCCTGGGACGGAGAAGTAGGATCATGACCTACCTGGAAGTGGGTGGCATCCTGCCCAGTGCCCATGGCAAATATGCTATAAAGAAGAGCGAGCAGGAGGCGTGACTCCAGCTCCAGGGCAAGCGGCGGCTTCAGTTTGCTGGCAGGAGAGAGGAGCCCGTGTTATACTTGGCAGCACCGGAGTGGTGCTAGCACTGACAGGGACATGACCCCCCCTCCCCCGCAGTGATCCCCTCCCTACGGCCACTCTAACGTTATGGGAGTGAAATCACCCCCCAGCCAGGAAAGAGGGGAAGTTCCCACCTCCTCTGCTGGGGGGACGCGAACAGCCACAGCTGGGGGTAATTTAGGCCAGAGAGGATCTGGGACTTCCGGCTCTGGACCCGATCAGCACCAGGGTTAGGGCAGCTGGATGGGAGGGTCCTGGTACCTGAGGCTGCAAACCGCGTCCATGGAGCTGGAGATGACAGAGGTTGGCTCTGGCACCATGGGCAGATTT